CGCATGGAAGGAAATATGCAAGCCGAAAGAAGATGGAGGCTTGGGGATCAAAGACCTCCGAAACATGAATTATGCACTCTTGATGAAGTTGGGATGGGGTATCCTATTGAGGGAAAATTCATTTTGGGTAAGACTTCTGATAGCCAAGTATGGGATTACTCCATCTAGTTCGGTGAGTAGCTCTCGTTGTCGCACGGGATCTCCGCTTATGCGCTCGCTTTGCAAGATTTGGCCAGCAATGCTAAAAGAGATTCAGTGGATTGTAGGCGATGGGGAGCATGTGAGATTTTGGTTGGATCCATGGATTGGGACAATCGGTCCGCTAATTAATCATGCTATTCAAAGGCCACCCGAAGATACTCTTAGCTTGCCTGTTAAGAACTTCGTGGACGAACAAGGAAATTGGAGATGGGATGAATTTCACGGGCTCCTCCCTTCCGTCACTATCATACAAATTGCAGGTATTGCTCCTCCGCGAGCAGCGGCCGAGCCCGATCGCATTATGTGGGGGGCTTCCCACAATGGCCACTTCTCTACACGCTCGGCGTATTCGTCTTTAGCCCACCATGGGAGAGACCCGGACAGACCACTATGGAAGCTGATATGGACATCCCCGGTGCCGCAACGAGTCCGAACATTTATGTGGTTGGCTGCTCATGATCGTTTGCTAACCAATGGAGAACGGGCTCGTAGACATCTTGCAGTTTCGGCGGACTGTGAGCTTTGCGGCGCAATCGAGACTACGTTGCACGTCCTACGTGATTGCCCTGCTACCCAGCGCGTCTGGAGTCAGCTTCTCCCGTCAACTTTTGTAAGTCGCTTCTTCCAGCAGGAACTCCGGCCGTGGCTGCGCTGCAACTTAGGAGTGGCGCCGGTGGGCCTGCACAAAGACTGGAGCAGCAAGTTTGCTTTCGGGATATGGAGCGCTTGGAAATGGCGGAATGATCGTATCTTCAAGGACCGGACCACAGACTGTGAAGCTCGATATCTGGACATCCTCCGGAAATCTGCCGCTTATGAGAGAGCGACTGGGGCTTATGCGCTGGCCGGCGCACCTTTACACACCGTCCGCATGATAAAGTGGCACCCACCGGACTCGGGATGGATCAAAATCAATACGGATGGGGCTTATAATCGTATCACGGGCCATAGTAGTGCCGGGGGGCTGATTCGTAATGAAGCGGGTGAGTGGATCGGCGGCTTTTTAATGAATATTGGTTTTGGAACGATTGTGGGTGCCGAGCTGTGGGGCCTTTTTCAAGGATTACAGTTGGCCTGGGACTTGGGATACCGACAAATTGTAGCAGAGGTTGATAACCAGTGTGTGCCGGAGATGGTTCTTAGCCCTCATGCCCACTTTGGCGCCCACGAGTCACTTGTTCGAGCCATTCAGAGCCTAATCCACAGAGATTGGAGCGCCCGTCTCCAGCATGTGCATCGAGAAGCCAACTTTGCTGCTGACCATTTGGCGGCACTTGCGGCATCTTCCACAATAGGGTTACAAAGGTTATCTTCACCCCCCAATGACGTGGAAGCATGGCTTGAACATGATCTTAAGGGCGTGGCTCTCCCACGTCGTACGTTAGTCTCTTAAATCCTTAGGCGCCAAGCCTCTTTCATTGTACCAAAAAAAAAAAAAAAGGGAATAATTGATGCTATACGTTTGAACAGCTTCGCAATCAATCTTAATCTTTGTGCATACTATTATTTTGGCCGGATTCATTATTATTGAAAGATATATGTAAAATCTCGAAATCACCCGTGATGCTGTATTTATTTTGGACAACAATATAGAAATATATATTATTCATTTAAAAAAGAAAAGAAAAAAATGAAAAGAAAAAAACTCACGGGAATTGCAAATACTTAGGTGTGCCCTGACACATCTAGCAATGTATGCAAAAGACAATTTAAAATAAACGTGTTACATAATAAAATGAAAATGTAACACTTCAATGCGGAACAAATTCCCACGGGAAATTCACGTGAAACTGACGCATAATATCATTATCCTTATAAAGATATTTATTAATTATTATAATGAGAAAAAAAAAGAGCCGTTACAGTATTTAAAGCAACACGTGGACCTTGCCGACATTTTACCATTCTCGTCGTGGCAACCGTGTCTCTCTCCATCCACCATTCCATTTAGTAATTAATTAATTAATTAAGGATATTACTATTACCGTCTCTTTTACTAATCACCGCCTCCTCCAATTACGTTGCCTCCTCCAATTACGTTTTTGTCCTTATGACAAAAATAGTGTTACATTAATAAGCTCATAATTAATTACGAACCCGCGACTTTTCCTTTTACAGACAGGAATATCGATTTTATTCACATTTAACAAATTTTTATTTTATTATATTTTAGAGTGGAAAACTTATGTAAATTTATTATTAATGTTTTAAAAAGTTATGTAAATTTATTATTTGTTGTGTCTATAATAAACCGTTACATGAGTTCGGACCTTAACGAGCCGAGTCAAGTTCATACGATATGATATGACATAAATCATTTTGAAAAAAAAAAAAAGAATAAGAATATTCAATTGAAAAAAACTATGTTACAAAATAGAAAGTGGAAAAAGAAAAACGATACTATAATTTTGAGAACGTAAATAAATATGAGATAAAATGTAAAAATTAAAGTTAATATGATAGAAAAATCGTAAGATAATGAATGCAAATGATTAATAATTAGAAGTATATGAATGACTAAATAAACAAGCAATATTATTGAAAGTGATTGATTTTTATTATATAATTTTATTAATACATTTAAGGAAAAATTTAAACTAATTGAACGAATTTTTCATATATATATATTTGTGTGTGTGTGTAAAATTATAATCCCCGTCTCAAAAAATTTTATCACTAAAAAAACAAAATTATACATCCAATCCCTTCTAACCAACTCTTTTTATCCTAACACCATTGCAAAACTTAATAAGTGAGAAATGCTACGGTCCTGTTATGAAGTCATTCCGTCGAAGTTTGTAACCATTAAATCATGACGGTTACATTTATTTATTACTTTAGAAGGAAATGTTACGGTCCTGTTCGGTCGGGGTTTGTAACCGTTAAATCATCATGTAATCGTCAAATATAGTTGATCTAACGGTTACAAACCCCGACCGAACAGAACCGTAACATTTCCTTCTAAAGCAATAAATAAATGTAACCGCCATTTTAACTAGTGAGCAGTTAAATCCAGGTGAAAATCAGTGAAGAAGGGTAACAAATACTTACCCAAATAAAAATAAATTTTTTTTTTTTCAGATTGGTCTGTAACGTACACGCTCGCCACACATTCAACGCACACTATATACATCTCACACAAACTGCCGTTTTCTCTCTCTCTCTCTCTCTCTCTCTCTCTCTCTCTGTCTGTCTCTTCGCCTTCTTCCATTTATGTCTCTCTCTGTAATTCTGTAGTAGGTGGTGTGTGTCTCTATCGTGGGTTGGCTTGTGGTTCGGTTTTTCATCTTTGTTTTGCGGAATGTTTGTGTTGGCTTTTGTTGCACTCTGAAGCAATTCCAATCACTCGCTCGGCCGCAATCCTCAATCCCCCTCCCTCCAATCCTCTCGGCTCAAGTTTTCCGGCGCGTTTGCTTAAGGCTGACGGAGTCTGTGAGGCTGCATCGCATAATTTTAAGGTACGGTATGTGTTCTCTTGTGAAGTTTCCGTTCCTATGTAATTTCCGGTGATTCTGGTTGTGTTTTGTTCCTGGTATCGCGATTGTTGTTCTAGTCGCATACGGATGATTGATGAAGTGGTTGTTGTTTGAGGTTAGGGGTGAAGTACAGCTCGCTTGACGTGCTTAATTGGCGTGGTCCTTGTTTTGTCTTGTTTGATCCGCGGGAAATTTTCACCTTACTGGAAATATTACACGAATCACCATTTTATTTTTACTTGAAAATTAATGCTTAGCAGTAGATGCTTCTCTGTAGGTCTTTGTGAGATGGTTTTTTGCAATTTTTATTTTATTTTTTTGCAAAATTAGCATGGGTGTGGATTTGTATATGTGTTTTAGTAATTAATGGAAATGAAGCTGCGTTAAATTGATGCTTATGGCTATGGTAGGATGGATTGTTTCCCCCATTTTGCTTATTTCTCGTGTAAACAAAATTGGGGATATAGGGCTTGCAGCTATTGCTTTAACTGTACTCTTTCTAGCAGGAAGTTCAGTTAATATAGTAGAGCAACAAGATGGCAACCTTTGGGGATATAGGGCTTGCAGCTGGAGTCAATATTCTCAGTGCGTTGATTTTCCTTGTAGCATTCGCTATCCTAAGGATTCAACCGTTTAACGACAGAGTGTATTTCCCAAAATGGTACCTCAAGGGTTTAAGAAGCAGTCCCACGCAATCTGGTGCATTTGTTTCCAAATTTGTCAATCTGGACTGGAGGTCATATATTAGGTTTCTGAATTGGGTTCCAGATGCATTGAGAATGCCAGAGGCAGAGTTGATTGATCATGCAGGGCTAGATTCGGCTGTCTATTTGCGAATTTACTTGCTGGGGTAGGCCGAGACATCTTACATTTTCCAACTCTTTACTGTGTTCCTTTGGCATAGAATCGATAGAAGTACGAGATAAAGGAGAACATGTTTTGAAATGCTATGTTGCATTTTATGAGTTCCAGACATATTCTTAATTACTTCTGATTCACCTCTTCTGTTATGCAGATTGAAGATTTTTGTTCCAGTGACATTGCTCGCATGGGCTATCCTTGTGCCTGTCAACTGGACAAACAACACTTTGGTGATATCACATGCAACTGACAAGCTAGAGTACAGTGATATTGACAAGCTTTCTATTTCAAACATTCCTCATGGATCAAAGAGGTTAAGAACGTTCTCTTCTTCATTGTTTTTAAAGTTTTTCCTTAGCCTAATTGTGGTAACTATTATTCCATTCATATAATCTCCCTATATTGGTCGAAAATGCACTCGAATCAACGCACAACTGTTTTAAGTCTGTCGAATTTTTGAAGGGATCCCAGTGCCAGTCATTAATGGAGCTTTATTTGAGTTTTTAGTTTATTGATATTGAGGGTTTGCCTAGCCTACTTTTTATAGGGCTTATTTTATGCCGATTCGGCCTTTCTCAATCATCCTGTCATAGTTCCTGCATAATATTGAGACGGCTGAAGGTTCTAATAACCTGGATGGTGTAGGAAACTGAATTGCTGGTCAAGCATATGTTAATTTCAGGGGCAATAGTGTTTCTGGTGATAAATCAGTTTCTGTAGTGATAGATTCTGTATGGCATTCGGGTATTCATTTGCACTTTGCTGAGCAGCATATAAACGTGATATTTGGTTGTGTAATCTAATATAGTTGCCAGCACATATTTTGGCAGATAAGCAAGTTGAGTAATACGTTGTCTCTTTAAATACATTGAATTGAATGTTTAGCGGAAAGTTAGAGTAAAAGGCTTCAGATCCAGAGAAGCCAAATCCTTGAACACATATACTAATTTTTTCACTACTTCCATAGACTAGAGAAGTTCAATTATGAAACTTTTCTTACTGTACTATCCTCATTAATATACAGGCATTGTTGTTCTTGAGAAGCATTTACTTGAAACGAGATTGATCTTTCATATATTTTGACAGGTTTTGGGCTCATATAGTAATGGCCTATGCCTTCACTATTTGGACTTGTTATACCTTGATGAAGGAGTATGAGGCAGTTGCTACAATGCGCTTACACTTTCTTGCTTCAGAAAGACGTCGGCCTGATCAATTTACTGTATGATGCATATTTTGCTTCTTTCTCCCTGTGTTGTGAAAGTTTTTAAGGATATGGAGGTTATTTATGATCAAGAAATTATATATGACTTTGTAAAGAGTTACATCTTTTTCTGTTCCCTGTGAAATGGGCATTATGTGATATTGATAGATGAAATGCATTGTATTTTTGGGATGCCCGAATCTATAACAACGAAACAATATTTGTTTGCAAGACAGATTATACCAGTGTCTTTAAAAGTGAACTGGAAGTCTGAGATACTTACAAATACATGTTTCCCCCTTTATATATCCATATTGATCAGCATTCTACACTTTTTTTTCGAGCCTATTATGTTATCTTTTTATCTTTTAGAGCATCTTTTGTTTTAGTGTTCTTTTTTTCGAGTTTAGCTGAGCAGGCATATTGTGAGTTGCTGAGGCATATTGTGAGTTGCTGAAATTTTACTGAAATTTTCTTTCTGCTGATGGTAAATCACTAGTATTCTTTGGACCTTCTCCTATTTATTTTCATTTTTTAATGTTTTTGAAGCCATATGTATGATGGAAAGTTGTTTGATTACTTTGAGTCGTCAGTTCATCACCTTTGCAGAAGACATGCAGCAAAATGATTTCATGTTATATTTGAGTTAAAAGCCTAAAAGAGATGGAATTGCATATGTGGTATATATACTATGGAATGTATTTCTGCTCAGCCGTTTTTCATGATTTTTTATTTTCATGCTCTTTGAGGGTTTACATGTGTAGAGGTCTTGCTTTATGGATAGATATGGGAATTTTACCAGTAACTTCATGGACAGTGTTTTTTATTTCCTAGACTGTTTATCTCTCGGTAAATTAGCTCAACTGTCTTGCTTTTCCCATTGTGTTTAGTGATGGTGCTGAAACTTTGGTCTTGCAGGTTCTCGTGAAAAATGTGCCACCTGATCCTGATGAATCAGTGAGTGAATCTGTGGAGCATTTTTTCTTGGTCAACCATCCAGATCATTATCTGACCCATCAGGTTAAACTCGCCCTTAGTTTGTCTGCCAATTTTGTGTTGTGGGTGAACAAACTTTCTGCAATACTTACCAGAACTGCTGGATTTTGTGGTGTGCCGAGTTTCTTAATTTTCGGCTGTGTACTTAATACTTATTGGATAATGAGGAATAAAAAATATAATATGGGTCAAAGAAATAAACTGTATAAGAATTGACCTTATGTGATTAGCTATTGCAGTCTCATGTCCCTCATATTCACTATCTGATATGTATGATAGTATCTGGTTTAATATCCACTGGGGGTTTATTTTAGGCTCAGAAACTAAATTACACATTTGTTACCGATTAAATAGTATAATAAATGAACACGATTATCTTGTGTGGCTTCACTCGTCAGTAGTGTGATTTGGTGAGAATGTTGCTGGTTCTGATCTGTGTCATTAAGTGCATCTGTTCAGTTTGTCTATAAGTTTACAAATATCTGGTGAAGGAAGTGTCACATTTCATCATTGTGACTTAGGCTATGTATTCTCTCCCATGTGCATATCCCTAACTAAACTATTGTATGCAGGTTGTGATCAATGCCAATAAACTTGCAAACCTTGTCAAGGAGAGAGAGAAGAAGGAAAACTGGCTTGACTATTACCAATTGAAATATACAAGAAATCCATCACAACGGCCTATGACAAAGGTATGTGTGACAATGTTATCTTTAGTTGCTTGCATTTATATGTAAGAAATTATCCTGAATTGTTTCTGATAGAACTGTAAGTTCATATGTAATATGAATAATCAATTGAGAGTTTATATTGGTTCATTTTAATTGTTTACGCATTGCAGACTGGTTTTCTTGGCCTTTGTGGAAATAAAGTGGATGCGATTGAGTATCAGACAGCTGAAATTGAGAGACTATCAAAAGAAGTGAGTACACATACTCATAAGGCTTCTCTTTGAATTATCCAATATTTCCTCCATGCATGTCCATTCACACATGACTATTGCACGTAACAATAATCAGGAATTCATTGATAATATTATTCTTGCGCTCAAACACTGCCAAATAATTTAGTTCCAGATTGTTTTTTGGGTACTTCACATCATGTCTGCAATATGAAATGCTGGAAAGTCCTTATTCCTGAAAATCATTTTGGAATTTTGAAACTCCCTTCACAACTGACCTATTTAATCCTCTTACAGTTTCGGGTGAGTAACCTATATCCTTGTGTTCAATCTATTCGATCACAAACCCCCCATAGAAAATAAGGGAAAGCCTTTGTGTATGGCGTTCTTGTCACTAAGGGATATGAAGAAAACAATATGTTTATAGTGGAAAACAGATTGTGTCAGATTTTTTAAGCTGACACCTCCTGGAATCAGTGAACCCGCCAACTCCTGAGAGTTGTCTGAGGGCCAGCCTTGATTCACCTCCTATCATCCTCAATCGTGTGATATACAAATAAATATCTACCCAATGGGAACAAGTATCCTGTCCTTTTATTTTACACATCCAATTAGGAGAGAAGACTCTTTGTTTTTTTTTTCCAAAATATGTTTTTCAATACTTCCACAGTTTTTCTTACCCATGCTTACCAAAGTCAGCCCAGAGCAAAAGTTTGTCAACTTGATAGACCTTGATAAATACTATTGTTGATGAGCTTCTCTTCTGTATCCTCATTTAAATGCAGTTCCTCCTGACATACTTTTTTCAGGTGAACTAGGCAAATAATGTACTTGATTTCCAACAGATGTTTAATATATGGTGCTGCTTTACTTGTGTATTCTTTTATCATTGTCTAAGCATCACACTGGTATGCAGATAGATGAAGAACGGGAGAGGGTTAAAACTGATCCGAAGTGCATCATGCCAGCAGCTTTTGTCTCTTTCAGAACTCGGTGGGCTGCTGCTGTGTGTGCACAAACACAACAATCAAGGAATCCTACTGTGTGGTTAACAGAGTGGGCTTCAGAGCCACGGGATGTTTACTGGAACAATCTTGCCATTCCCTATGTTTCACTGACTATTAGAAGGCTTATTATTGCAGTTGCTTTCTTCTTCCTCACGTTTTTTTTCATGATACCAATCACTGCTGTGCAATCCCTTGCAAACATAGAGGGCATTCAAAAGAGGTTACCATTTCTTAAGGCGATTACTGATGTGTAAGCATTGCTTCCAAGAGCTATGTGGGTTGTGTTACGATTATCAGTTGTCATGCTTTGTATTCTTTCTCTTCGATATTATTGTTAGATGTTATGCCGTCATCATTTTTCTTAAAAAAAAATGTTATTTCATCGTAGTTTTCCGTTAACTATTAATATGATGATAATTTTCTTGCAGCCCTTTCATCAAGGCCTTCATCCAAGGGGTTCTACCAGGGATCGTTCTGAAGATCTTTCTTATTGTGTTGCCAACAATTTTGATGATGATGTCCAAATTTGAGGGTTTCCTGTCGATATCAGCCCTTGAGAGGAGATCTGCCATGAGATATTATATATTCAACTTTGTGAATGTTTTCCTTGTCAGCGTAATCGCAGGAACTGCATTGCAACAACTCAATAGTTTTCTTCATCAGTCACCACAGGAGTACGTCGTCAATCTGCCTTTATATATCTTACATGTCCTTTTCTAGGGAAGATAATCGTGACTCATGACCTAAACTTATTTTCCCCACGAATGCAACAAACTTGGCTAATGCTTGATTAATGACCTGTGGTAATCAGTGAAAGACAATACTTTTTGTTCTATTAAAACCACTAGTGTTCCGTTTAGATGAGCTAATGGTTACTGTCCACTGTGTTTTTAACTCATTCATACCTTCCACATATGTATCTGATTGCCCCGAGAAGCACAGAGACTTAAAGTTGTAATATTTACTTCTCAACAAAAGAATAGTTGTTTTCTATGTTCCATAAGTCATTTTTTCCTGTTCCATAAGTCATTCTGATTTAGCCTTTTTCATATAGTATTTTTATGTTCAGGAATGTGCAAGAAAGATCTGATTATTTGTTATTGATGGGTGTTGCAGGATCCCCAGAACAATTGGTGTGGCAATTCCTATGAAAGCAACTTTCTTCATTACATATGTAATGGTTGATGGATGGGCTGGTGTTGCTGGTGAAATCCTTAGACTGAAGCCACTGATATTTTACCATCTGAAAAACTTCTTCTTGGTGAAGACTGAAAAAGATAGGGAGAAGGCCATGGATCCAGGAAGCATTGGTTTTAACACGGGCGAACCTCAGATACAACTATATTTTCTGCTAGGCCTTGTCTATGCTGTTGTCACACCTGTTTTCCTCCCTTTTATATTGATTTTCTTTGCCTTCGCATATCTGATATTCCGCCACCAGGTAATCTCTCTCTCTCTCTCTCTCTCTCTCTCTCTCTCTCTCT